TCTGTGCAGCCCTCAGTTCCCTGCTCTATGCAGCCCTCAGTCCCCTGCTCTGTGCAGCCCTCAGTCCCCTGCTCTATGCAGCCCTCAGTTCCCTGTTCTATGCAGCCCTCAGTCCCCTGCTCGATGCAGCCCTCAGTCCCCTGCTCTATGCAGCCCTCAGTTCCCTGCTCTATGCAGCCCTCAGAGGTACTAGGTAATGTTACAAACACATTAAGACGAACTGATAACCCCTCCTGTCACTCATTGCTTTCTGATGTAAATTACCAGAGCCGAGACAGTTATATGCAAAGACGACGCCGTTGTATCTTTGTAGAAATTCTATCGGTGATAGGCCAAAGGTTTAACATACACGAACGATTCTCAGCCTTCCTGATATCTCTTCGCCTGCCGTGGTCTCCAGCCACGAAGTGAAGCTTACCCGCGTTGTGTGCCAACTTAGCCTGGCTGGTCAGGAACTGACTTTAGGTGCCTGTCTAGTGCCTTCTTGAAGACAGCCAGGGGTCTATTGGTAATCCCCCTTATGTATGCTGGGAGGCAGTTCAGCAGTCTTGGGGCCCCTGACACTTATTGTGGCAGGAGCCCAAGACTGTTGTGAGGGAACTCTCAGTGCGGTTGTACACTTCTGTATGATACAGTAGTGTGCTTATTGGGATATTGATTAAATAAAACACTTGAAAATTTATCTGAAAAAATACACGGCAGTGATATAATTGATTTAATAAGAGTTATGACTACCCTGTGTTTTTATTAGCATTGCTACACGCTTTGGCATAGAACTAACCAATGTCGAACACATTTTGGCAAGTTTGTCGTGGTACCAGGACCTAACAGCAGCAGTTAGGTTCTCCGCAGTTGAACAGTCTGGTTAGCGATACTGGGGTTGGTTATTGCCCATAAATTCTCAGTTGGGTTGAAGGTCTGGAGAGTTTCCAGGCCAATTTAGACCGCTTAGCTCACCATCTTCGTTGATTGTCAACATTTTTCTGGAAGTGTGGCATGGAACAAGATCCTGCTGGAAAATCCCATCTCCGTCAGGAAAGTCTCTATCCACAATGGGAAGCAAATGAGTTGCCAGTATTGCCTTGTATTTGTTACTGTTCATCGTTCTCTCAACAATAGCAAGCCGTCGAGGACCTTTACTAGTAAAAGTACCTCAAAACATCTTAGGTGGGTGATTTGGCGCTTGTTGAATATGTCCATTCCGAAGAGGTTCGTCTTTGCTCCGTCTCACTTCCAAATTCACCTCATCTGAAAAAATAACTTTTCTCCATTCATTTGTCGTCCATCCCTTATGATCGAGTGCCCATAACAGCAGTCAATTGTTTCTCGACCAGCTTTCTAGCAATTCTGCCAACTTCAAGGAGCCTTCACCGAACAGTTGAAGAATTAACGTTTACACCAGCTGAAGCCAACCCTTTCTGTAGCTCTTTGCTGGTTTTCTTGGTATCTTTCACAGTAATTCTTATGATAATCTTGTTATCGTGAGGTGTTGTCTAGCGTGTTCTGCCATATCTTCCTCGACGCAGCACTCCACAATTACCAGTGTCGTCAGCTCTCTTTGGAATCGGATCAGCAGTTGACTTTAATAGGCTCAGGTTTTCGGTGATCCATCTGATATTCCAATCAGCATGTTTTCTAAGACCTACAATACTTGCACAGTTGTCATGAATTGAAGGGGAAGGCTTGGCGAAAGCACATTCACCTTACAGAACAACAGCTGTTGTAGCACTAACAAAAGTCCCTAGATGGTTGCCAGAAGTCAGTAGCAAACTTCTGAAAAGAAAAGAACCCAAACTACATTAATTAAGTCGGAGACTAAGGCACACTAGGAAATAATGACAAAATTCACTCCTGTCCCAATTAACTGGCACACTACTGTAGTTATGTTGTGGGGACTCCCGCAGTGTGCTGCTAGACTACTATGTATGCTGGTGGTGAAGACATCCGCAATGAGTGAGTAGAATGACAGAACAGTTCCGGATTTTAGAATGAGATGACGTGTGTGATCTATGTACTAGCTAGGAAGGTGCATTCTCTCTCTCTCTCTCTCTCTCTCTCTCTCTCTCTCTCTCTCTCTCTCTCTCTCTCTCTCTCTCTCTCTCTCTCTCTCTCTCTCTCTCCCTCTCTCTCTCTCTCTCCCTCTCCCTCTCTCTCTCTCTCTCTCTCTCTCTCTCTCTCTCTCTCTCTCTCTCTCTCTCTCTCTCTCTCTCTCTCTCTCTCTCTCTCATCCATGCACACTTAATAACTGTATACCTACCATTACTGACCTTAGTGGTGTACTAGCCAATTTGTCACTGCAAGGTTCGAGTCACAGCTCCTGCATGTAAACGCGCCTCTTGACCAGCATCAAACGTCGCTTTGACCATTCCACTTCCTAACTACCCTGAGGCTGAAAAAACACTTCCTGACATCTCTCTGACTTTCCAGTGTTATTAAATCTATCAGCAGGATTAATCAATCAAATCTAAAAATTCTGTTGATAGATTCGATAGATATTGATAGATCTGAGAGTTCGATTTAATCTTTATTTTTTAGGTACTAAAATATATCTGTCCAGTGGCATTAATAATTTTAAGTACATGGACACATGCAACTAATGTGACGTTGTAGCAACGTTTCGCTCTCAAAGAGCTTGGCAAAGCTTCCGGAGAGCTTTGTTAAGCTCCTGGTAATTCTAGTGTTGCCTGGATTCTCAAGCAACTAAAGTGACACTTTAGGAACGTTTCGCTCCTCAGGAGCTTTGTCCAGCTCATGGGAAATTTTGTCCAGCTCCTGGAGAGCTTTGTCCAGCTCCTGGAGGAGTTTTGTCCACCACCTGGAGAGTTTTGTCCAGCTCCTGGAGAGCTTTGTCCAGCTCCTGGAGAGCTTTGTCCAGCTCCTGGAGAGTTTTGTCCACCTCCTGGAGAGTTTTGTCCACCTTCTGGAGAGTTTTGTCCACCTGGAGAGATTTGTCCAGTTCATGGAGAGTTTTGTCCACCTGGAGAGCTTTGTCCAGCTCATGGAGAGTTTTGTCCAGCTCATGGAGAGTTTTGTCCAGCTCCTGGAGAGCTTTGTCCACCTGGAGAGCTTTGTCCACCACCTGGAGAGCTTTGTCCACCTGGAGAGCTTTGTCCAGCTCATGGAGTTTTTTTTCAGCTCATGGAGAGTTTTGTCCAGCTCCTGGAGAGCTTTGTCCACCACCTGGAGAGCTTTGTCCACCACCTGGAGAGCTTTGTCCACCTGGAAAGCTTTGTCCACCTGGAGAGCTTTGTCCACCACCTGGAGAGCTTTGTCCACCACCTGGAGAGCTTTGTCCACCTGGAGAGCTTTGTCCACCACCTGGAGAGCTTTGTCCACCACCTGGAGAGCTTTGTCCACCTGGAGAGCTTTGTCCACCACCTGGAGAGCTTTGTCCAGCTCCTGGAGAGCTTTGTCCACCACCTGGAGAGCTTTGTCCACCACCTGGAGAGCTTTGTCCACCACATGGAGAGCTTTGTCCACCACCTGGAGAGCTTTGTCCACCTCCTGGAGAGCTTTGTCCACCTGGAGAGCTTTGTCCAGCTCCTGGGGAGCTTTGTCCACCACCTGGAGAGCTTTGTCCACCTGGAGAGCTTTGTCCACCTGGAGAGCTTTGTCCACCTGGAGAGCTTTGTCCACCACCTGGAGAGCTTTGTCCACCACCTGGAGAGCTTTGTCCACCACCTGGAGAGCTTTGTCCACCTGGAGAGCTTTGTCCACCACCTGGAGAGCTTTGCCCACCACCTGGAGAGCTTTGTCCACCTGGAGAGCTTTGTCCACCACCTGGAGAGCTTTGTCACACCTGGAGAGCTTTGTTCACCACCTGGAGAGCTTTGTCCACCACCTGGAGAGTTTGTCCACCACCTGGAGAGCTTTGTCCACCTGGAGAGCTTTGTCCACCACCTGGAGAGCTTTGTCCACCACCTGGAGAGCTTTGTCCACCACCTGGAGAGCTTTGTCCACCTGGAGAGCTTTGTCCACCACCTGGAGAGCTTTGTCCACCACCTGGAGAGCTTTGTCCACCACCTGGAGAGCTTTGTCCACCACCTGGAGAGCTTTGTCCACCACCTGGAGAGCTCTGTCAAGCTCTTGTTAACTCCACAATTACTCTCAGTACTTTTGTCGTTAACACAATAATAATAATAATAATAATAATAATAAATCCACTTAACCAAATAAACGAAATTAAAAAAAAAATATTTCGACTTTGGATTAAATTATTCCTATGGGTAATTGTTCAAAATACGCGAGAAAGATTTGAGGTGGTTTTGTGGTCTCTTAATTGGGACAATTTCCAGCACAGCCAATTACATCGTTTGGAAATTCTTCGAGTTTGTATATATTAGGAGGCCTGGTCACAGACCGGGCCGCGGGGGCGTTCACCCCCGGAACTCTCTCCAGGTAAACTCCAGGTAATTAGGATCAGGTCAAGAGGTTATACGATTAAATACTATGTATTCTTGTATGTTAAAATCTTGGTGGAAGGAGGTTAGAAGTTCACGACTGAGTATTTTTTCGTGCCTCTGTGATTTGTGTTTTGTATTTAATAACACAATTCCAGGTGAGGGAAGCTGGTGGTAAAGTTTTGTATAGAGAGGAAATTGTATATTTGTATGTGTAATAATGTATATGTTTGTATGTGCAGTTATATATGTGTATGTATGTATGTGTGTGCATTGAGATCATAGTGAACAGGTGATATCACAAAAATAGCGAAATTCCAAGCGCTTTCGTGGCTTCTCACATTATCGTAGTTCCTTGATGATGTGAGAAGCCACGAAAGCGCGTGGAATTTCCCTCTTTTTTCACAGTGGTTGTTCTGCATGTGTGTGTGTGTGTGTGTGTGTGTGTGTGTGTGTGTGTGTGTGTGTGTGTGTGTGTGTGTGTGTGTTTCCCTCTACTAGGGTTCAACCTGATTACCTTCCATTCCATAACTGCTATATGACCCATGTGTGTTTATAGCTTACCCAGAAATAGACTAATAAGTATTTTTTGATTTGCAGAATGGTGTGTACTGTCCAGAGCTTAAGCCAGAGGTACGACACCCCCTCCACACTACACTATGTGGGACACAAGCCAGAGGTACAACTCCCTCCCTAACTACACTGTGCGGGACACGAGCTACTCTACATGACACTCCAGCAGCAGCTGTTGACAGATGTTCACTGGTCATTGAAGATCATTGAAGGTTAGTAGGCTTGATTTTCGTTACATCAAATTTTTTTTGTCCCCTTTGAGACAAGGGGAGAGGGCTTCAGAATTTTTTTAGGTTATACATGTTCAGTAGCACATATTTAAATGGCTTTTTATGGATTGCTTGAGAAAGTAGAGAGGGTGTGAGTCCCCCACACCTGCCTCCTGACGAGGTGAAAGTGAGAGAGGGTGAGGAACCTTTCGACAAGAAAAAGAGACAGGAAAGGGGGAGAAATTGTGAAAAGGTGGGAGGGATGGGGTGATAGAGAATTGAAAAGAAAGGTAATGGACGTAACACAGAGAGAGAAAGAGAGAGAGAGAAAGCAAGCAAGCTAGCTGAGAGAAACTGCAATGATTGATTATTAAAACATAGCAGGAGGCTAACTGTACTCACCTAATTGTGGTTGCAAGGGTCGATTCCTGTGAGAGTGGTTTCTGTGATATCTATGATATTTGGTGATGCCTCTTCGATTCTTTCCTGCCACTCCTCCCATTTATTCGTTATTCCATCAGCGTTAGTGTACCATACCTTCAGTTTCCTCTCCAACACTGCATTCTGGGGGGGGTCTGTGGGGGTGTTGGACCTGGCAGTGTGCAGTGGGATTCTACGGCGTAGTGTGGGGTGGGGACTGTAAGTTTGGATTGTGGGTTTTGTTGGGATAGCATGTTTGGCTGTGGAGTTCTGAGGGTGGTTCTGTGTGTACTTGCGCTTGTTACTGTGTGTGTGTGTGTGTGTGTGTGTTGTGTGTGTGTGTGTGTGTGTTGTCAGTCGCCATAATTTTCTTAAAATTAATTATCTAATGCATGTAACATCTAAAGCATGTAACATGTAAAGCATGTAACATCTAAAGCATGTAACATCTAATGCATTTAACATCTTCAAAGCTGCCTAGAACTAGAACAGATACTTTCTAAACTACTGCTCTTCTAGATCTCTAATCCAGCAGATGCAGGAGGTTAACATCCTGCAAGCCAGAGTGAAGAAAATATTCACTCTCCAAGGGAAGCTTGCACTGAGGCGATGTGTATGTAGAGGTTTATCAAGTTATGTTTGTGTATAGAGCTTTGTCAAGTCATGTTTCTATGTGTAGAGATTTATCATGTTTCTCTGTGTAGAGTTTTATTAAATCATGTTTCTATAGGGATTTATAAGGTCATGTTTCTCTGTGTAGAGCTTTATCAGGTCATTTTTCTGTGTAGAGCTTCATCAAGTCATGTTTCTCTGTGTAAAGCTTTCTGAATAGTGAATAGATAAAAAGATATTTTTAATCCCCTTTATCATACCAAAACTAATAAGTTAATATTTTTCCAGGTTGTGTGTGTCCTGACTATCACAATAATCTGCATAAAAGCACGCCAGAAAAGGGAAACTGATCGTCTATTGTTGACAATGACGGAGGGTCAAGCCGTCCACGGTGACTCTGAAGTTATTTTAGGCTGGAGAGGTGATACCACAAGAGGTTGGCCTTCTCTCATATCTGGGACAGGGTAAGTGTGGTGCCTTGTTACTCGAAGAGTCTTTGAGAGGCTTTCCGAGTCTCTCAAATAGTCTCTCCCTCTTTTGGGTCTGCAAAAGAGGGTGGTGGTAAATCTCCTTATACCTGCTGTTTCTGCTCACCTAGCAGTGAAAAGTTAGACGACAGTTAATTGAGTTGTGGGGTATGGTAGTATTAGATAGGGTTAGCCTCTGAAATAACCTCGTGTAAGATAACAGCTCTTAGCCTGTAAATGACGATGTATTATTCTCTTAGCCTATGAATGATCTGAGTTAAGGTAACAGCTTCTGGCCTGTAAATGAGACTAGGTATAACAACAGCTCAGCTTGTAAATAATATGAGTGGATAGCAGCTGGAATTATTTCTGAATGCTACTCTAAGGGACGCTGACGATACTTGCAGCTCTCAGTATGATTTTCCAAAAGTGAATGTTTGTATATAACAGCTTTCAGTTTTGATGAACAGGTGAACAAATTAGACAATACACGAGTTCACTCTTCGAAGTCCTACCTCTTCGACTCGACGCCTCGAAGTCCTGCCTCTTCGGCTCGACGCCTCGAAGTCCTGCCTCTTCGGCTCGACGCCTCGAAGTCCTGCCTCTTCGACTCGATTCATCCTCAATTTGATGCTAATGTCTCAACCTACAGAATCGAAACACATTCAGTAGACGTTCTGATGAAGTGTAAACATACCAGTGTTCACCTCTGAGGTTCTGACATTATATGAATGATGTGCTCTTAGGATAATCTGTTGCTTCAGAATTTTTATCATAACCTTCAGATCTTTGAGGCTGTTTTTCTCCTGGTGTATCTTAAGTAAGCTAGATGCATATTTCCAAAGTCCTTAAAGTGTGTAGAGTTTTACCTAATACTCGACAGTACACTCTCCTTCCTCTAATATCTGAGAATATAACTACAAAATACAGTATTATTGTATAAACACTGAGATGATCATTTTTCATCAGGGGCAAGTGAAGCTAAAGACTGACATCCTGATGCAACTAGCAACACAGCGTCCAGATTAGACTAGCAAGACAGCGTCCAGATTAGACTAGCAAGACAGCGTCCAGATGAGACTAGCAATACAGCATCTAGATGAGACTAGGAACACAGCATCCAGATGAGACTAGCAACACATCCAGAAGCAACAAAGGACACAACAAGTAAGTATATATAAGTGATGTAGTGAGACTAAGCTGGTCATTTGGAAAGCTTGTATTCCTTTTATTTTATTTTTATTTTGCTTCTATGGATCCCATTAACAAACTGGTATCGGTATGACTTTTTTTTCTCTGATGGTATTAATGTCTGAGTGAAATACTTTGGTTCATTTATTGTGGAAAGGTTTCACCAGTCAGTAGTGACACCAGTCCAGTACAGAGAAAAACGGTGGAAAGTGAAGGGGAGTTTGAAGTAATCAGTCCCTTTGTAGGCTGAGGGACTGATTACCTCAGACTGATGAAGCTCCTGGCTGGCGAATACTGAAATATATTCTGGTCCATGGACTATTGAAATAGGCCAATAATGACCCCTAACTAGTTTACCCTCAGGCCTACAGGATATTTACGTATTGTAAATAAATATCTGCTCGAAGTATATTCCCCAACAAGAAATCAAATCAAATAAAAACGATCCCAGTGAATAATTGTGGAGAAGAATTTCCATCGCATTAAAAGTGAAAATAATCGCGATATTGATGAATATGTTAAAAGAAAGGTAAAGGGGTAAGAAAAACTAGGATGTATTGATAGAGTTAAGTGAATGTTATCGTTTGGTGTTAGGGTACCAGAGCGAGGGTTATCAAGAGGGTAATGGTGGAGTCAGCGAAGTTTGGCTGGGGTTAGGTGCTTCGTCAGGCGTTGGAGTATCTGAGATCATTCGTCTCCGGACGAACGGCCGAGGGATGTTTAGTGGCTAGTGAGAAATGCCTTTTCTTATTCATCGCCCGACGATAGATCGTCTGTCTCTTGAAAGTGGGTTTGTGATGATATAGAACACGACTTAGATACATGTGCAGTATCTGGGTATCTTTATTGTAGACGTTTCGCCCTCCAGTGGCTTTATCAGTACAAGGACATCATGTGAAGACAGTCGAACTATGTTCAAAAGAGAAGGTAATCAGTCCCTCTGCCTTGAAACTTGAAGACAACGGTGCCGGATCAGCCGGGCTGTGGTTCGTACGTTGGATTACGTGCGGCCAGCAGTAACAGCCTCGTTGATCAGGCCCTGATCCACCGGGAGGCCTGGTCGTGGACCGGGCCGCGGGGACGTTGATTCCCGGAATGCCCTCCAGGTAGACGTTCAGGTACGGACTGATTGTAAATAGTTCTATCGTCTTCCCATTATATCCTTGTATTAATAGTCACTGGAGGGCGAAACGTCTACAATAAAGATACCCAGATGTTGCACATGTGTCTAATTCTTCACTATCTTCTTGGATCAGAAGCTCCTCCCCCCCGCTGGCATCAAGACAACACCTAAGAAAGGTGCAACTCCCAAAAGTAGCATCGCCTCCCTCATCTCCTGGCGAACCCAAGATATTAAACAGAATAACAAACAACGGGTATTAATATCTCCGTGTCACTTTTTTATCGCAATTAGAGGCTCAGAAAGAGAGGAATAAGGGGGGAAGATAAGATTATTTCTCAAAGGGAAAAAATGATTAGTTACGTCTTGACGTACACATGTGACAGAGGTGCGAAACATGATGCTGTTGTGTGGGAGATGAATTTATTCATGAGAGGCCTTGATGCTCCTAAAGGGCTTTTGATTCAAGGAAATGGAGCTATCCTCTCCTTCCTCAGATGAAACCCGAGTACCTCCCGTTCCTCAGGTTGTGTGTGACACCTGTGTGAAGATTTGTTAAGAGTTATCTGTTGTGCCGACCAGTTCACTGGAGAGTCAAAACAGGTTTATTAAGGCAAAATTTTTACCACCTAGAGCTGGTATCCAGGTATAAACAGTTATTATTATCACACAAAGGGTATATAAATTAAGACGTGTGTATATATATATGTGTACATACCATATTTTGCAGCCTATAAGTTTTGTTTTAGTTTATAGGACGCAGGGTTTTTTTTTGAGACATGGGGGAAAATGCATCTAATAAGCCGCGAAATACGGTACATTGTGTGTGTGTATGTCGTGCCGAATAGGTAAAACTGGTCAATTAGCAAGAACTCGTTTAAAATTAAGTTCTTTCTAAAATTTTCTCTTATACGTTTAAAGATATTTTTTTTTAGTTTGTTAATGTACAAAATAATATTGTACCAAAAGAACCTTAGAAAACTTACCTGACCTTATTATAACAAGCTCAATTTAATTTAGCCTCATCCAACTAAATATATTTTAGATAAGTTTACAATAATTTAATAAACAAACACAATGAAATACATTTTTTCGTTAGGTTCAGAATGATTTTTGCAAATTATTGCATACACAAATTTTAGCTTGCCTTGTTCGGCAAGAAGAACGTCGCTATTTAAGCCCAAAATTTCAAGTTTTACCTATTTGGCACGACATATATTGGTTTAATACTTATGCTTAGGTATTAATGTCATATGGGGGTTCGATAACGTGGATTGGGTAATAACACTAACGTTGGCTGGTTAGTACGTATAATTATAACGGAATATGTGGGAAGCACAGGCCCGCCCTGCCTCTCTGCTCTCTATCTTATGACTCACGAATTGGGTCCTATGGGTGAGCGGCGCTCAAAAACTGCTATGGTCAGCTGTAACGTCAGCTGTAACTATCGAAAGGTTTTAAATCCTACCTATACATTACAGACTTTGATACTTGGATCACTGGCAAGTTCAGGTGCATTAATATCCGCAGCAATCGCAACCAGGGTGTAAGAATGGGGAAAGTACCACAGTACAGAAAGGTACCAGGGTGTAAGAATGGGGAAAGTACCACAGTACAGAAAGGTACCACAACCAGTACAGAGAGAGGGGGGAGTTTACCTGGAGTTTACCTGGAGAGAGTTTCGGGGGTCAACGCCCCCGCGGCCCGGTCTGTGACCAGGCCTCCTGGTGGATCAGCGCCTGATCAACCAGGCTGTTGCTGCTGGCTGCACGCAAACCAACGTACGAGCCACAGCCCGGCTGATCAGGAACTGACTTTAGGTGCTTGTCCAGTGCCAGCTTGAAGACTGCCAGGGGTCTGTTGGTAATCCCCCTTATGTGTGCTGGGAGGCAGTTGAACAGTCTCGGGCCCCTGACACTTATTGTATGGTCTCTTAACGTGCTAGTGACACCCCTGCTTTTCATTGGGGGGATGGTGCATCGTCTGCCAAGTCTTTTGCTTTCGTAGTGAGTGATTTTCGTGTGCAAGTTCGGTACTAGTCCCTCTAGGATTTTCCAGGTGTATATAATCATGTATCTCTCCCTCCTGCGTTCCAGGGAATACAGGTTTAGAAACCTCAAGCGCTCCCAGTAATTGAGGTGTTTTATCTCCGTTATGCGCGCCATGAAAGTTCTCTGTACATTTTCTAGGTCGGCAATTTCACCTGCCTTGAAAGGTGCTGTTAGAGTGCAGCAATATTCCAGCCTAGATAGAACAAGTGACCTGAAGAGTGTCATCATGGGCTTGGCCTCCCTAGTTTTGAAGGTTCTCATTATCCATCCTGTCATTTTTCTAGCAGATGCGATTGATACAATGTTATGGTCCTTGAAGGTGAGATCCTCCGACATAATCACTCCCAGGTCTTTGACGTTGGTGTTTCGCTCTATTTCGTGGCCAGAATTTGTTTTGTACTCTGATGAAGATTTAATTTCCTCATGTTTACCATATCTGAGTAATTGAAATTTCTCATCGTTGAACTTCATATTGTTTTCTGCAGCCCACTGAAAGATTTGGTTGATGTCCGCCTGGAGCCTTGCAGTGTCTGCAATGGAGGAAGAGAAGGTCCTAGTACTGCAACCCAAGACTTGAGGGGAATCCAAATACCACACCCGGTATGCAGAAGGTACCTCAGTACCACAGTGGTAGGACAAGATGGGACTCAGTATTACAACCACGGGACAAAATGTGTTCCAGCACCATCACTCTAAAAACATAAGAATTACTTCACCAGGCTTACTGGCCCATGTTAGGCAGGTCCTAGTCACCTACTAGCCCAAGCCAGTCAGGTCCAAGTTATCCACTTAAGGAAGAAGCACTGCATCAGACCTACTGGCCCAATACAGTCAGGCCCCCAAAGAAGGGGAACATAAAGCGTCCCAGAACGATAACCAGTACGAAGTAAGGCCCCAGTACCATTCCACACATGAGAGAGTCCCCAGGACCCGTGGTACCCCTGGAGTACCCTCGTGAGGATGGATGGGATTGGATTCATTACCATCCTGAGTTTACGATCTCCTCCACCGTGCATGGCAATGAGTTTTCTCAGAACAGTGTTACCACTCACGTTAGACACTAATCTTCCTGTCACACCATAAACAGAGATATTTTTTTATAGTTAGCATATCTGGCAACAATTATTCCAGAGAATATAAACAGTATTTGCAGAAAACTCAAATCGTTTTACGTTAATTTAGAGTTAATGACTTTCAAGTGAATTTAATAATATAAAATAATAGGATAATAAAAGTTTATTAGAGAGAAAAAAGATAGATGCAGACACACACACATACACACACATGTACACACATACGTATATACACAGACACATAAACACACACAATATATATACAGACGCACATATACCCACAGACGCATATATACACAGACATATATACACACAAGTGAAGAGCCAGGGCCAGAAATTATGAATCGACCCCTGCAACCACAACTAGGTGAGTACACAGATATATATATATATATATATATATATATATATATATATATATATATATATATATATATATATATATATATATATAAAGTGTATGGTAAAGTGTATGGTAGAGTTATTATTGAAAGAATTAAGAGTAAGACGGAGAATAGGATAGCAGATGAACAAGGAGGCTTTAGGAAAGGTAGGGGGTGTGTGGACCAGGTGTTTACAGTGAAACATATAAGTGAACAGTATTTAGATAAGGCTAAAGAGGTCTTTGTGGCATTTATGGATTTGGAAAAGGCGTATGACAGGGTGGATAGGGGGGCAATGTGGCAGATGTTGCAGGTGTATGGTGTAGGAGGTAGGTTACTGAAAGCAGTG